CTGAACCCTTCCTGATGTGTAGCCTGTAGTCCCTTCAGGACAGAGATGTTATCCTTTTAACTGTCAAACGCTTCTGCTCAGGTCATGTGCTGTGGAAGGCGTGCTGTTTGTCCACTGCTTAAACGCCTTGAGGTCCTGATAATGAAAGTGGCCCTTGGGACTTACTGTGTGACAAACCACACACAAATGAGATGAGCTGCTGCCAGCCAGCCAGCGAAGAGACCCCATTTCTTAATAGGGTGATGACGTCTCACCAAAATTAAGCAGTGCAGATAGAGCATTAAGAATCCCAAGGAATTACTTGAGAGCAGTCTACAGCTTAAAGCTAATTTGCAGAATTTATTTGGCAAATAATTAGGAATAACCATACCTTTGAGAAAATTGCAGATTGTCCATATGCAATATATCACCAGCAAAAGAGGAAAAATTTATCAGGTATATTAGTCACTCTGAATTTTCCATCTATCTCTAGCCAAGACCAGATAGTGCAGAGGTTTATTGGTCGGTATATCAGTGCTGTGACTGCTCCTGGTACCGAAGGAGGATCATACAGTCTGTACAGGACAAGTGGGAAATAATTAAATACATAAATGAAACCATGCATCTGGTGCTGTAGGCTTGCTGTGCTCTTCCTTTGGCTGACTGATGGTAAAACTTAGGGAGCTGAACAAAGTTGAAAATCTAGCATATTTCAGCAGCTAGGTACAAGTTCACAAGATGAATATAGCTGGTAAGGCAGTGCCTTTTGGACAATAACCTCTTTTGGACCATTTATGGGCAATATTCATAGTGAAAATCTACCCTGGTTATGAAGAATGATGTTTTAGAGTAGAGCTGTTTAACCTGAGATTTCCTGCGCTACTGCTGAAGAGTCTATGAAGGGTAACTAGGAGAAGCAAGTCCATTATCATTAAGCTTAAAGTCACTAAACAGAGATCTGCATCTCTATAGAAAAAATTGCAGGGATGCATCAATTAGAAAAGGTTGAAAACCACTCTGTAGTGTTTAGGCCCCTAACTTAGTACATGAGATACCAATTCCATTCTTGTCCCGTCTCGTTTTTCCATATTACCTAGAGGCAAGAAAAAAGGCACTTCTGAACCTGAGGTGGTTTCTAAAAGGGGGATGGAGTGCTGCCTTGCTACCCAGGGGTGCTGACTGAATAAATGTTCTAACGATTGTTTAATACTTCAATATTATGGGGATAGAGGATCAAAATCTAAGACAAATAGCTAATACAGTTGCTCTGTCGTCTTGGTGGTAAGAAGAAATTCTGGACAATTACTAAATCCTGCCTTTTACTAATCTAGTTGAGTCATGGTAGACCCGCCTGTCTCCCAGAGTCACTTAGGAAAACAAAAGTGTGTGTGTGTGTGTGTGCGCGCGCACGCGTGCGTGTGTTCATAGAGTGTATGGACAGGGGAGAGATTTGTAATTAAGAATCCTCTTCAAAACTTTTTTTTCCAAATGGTTTTGAGTCAAAACTAAAAATGCTGCAGTCAGATATACTAACTATCATTGCTGATATCAAAAGGGAAGATTGCCTCGGAACCCAGCTCTGCCCTACTTGCATGCGATGATTCCATTCAGAAATAGAATTATTTTACAATTTTGATCCAATTTCTAGGAAATAGCTTCTTAGACCTGGAAATTACATATTTGCCAAAGGAGGTTTTTAAGACAAAGTGATATCCCATTTATGCTGGTTCTCACCAAAGCCTGAAATTAATCTTTAAACGTGTGGTAGAAAAAATAAGGCCTTTTCCGAATTGGACTGACCCTGAACGTGTCCGGCAGATACACTTCTCAGTCTACTTCTCAGTTTTATTGATCATTTAGACATAAAGTTGTCTGATGTGATCACGTTGTGGCAGAACGTCTTGCATTAGCCATGGGCTTTCTATGGGTATTGTTTTGTAAAGGAAAGGAAATGGTTGGGATATGCATGATGCTATATGCTCTGAAGGTGATGTTACTGTTCCTTGGTTGAAGGAGATGCTTGTAACTAGGATATGGATGTGATTGTTCCAAAAACTATTTATTCCCTGGTTCATTAATTAGGACAAGCAATGACTGACTGTCATAAACATTCACTTCAGATAACACAGGAAAAGGCTGTCTTGGAAGATGGCCAGCGTGATAGCATTAATGTTTTGAGCCTCAAAAAGATTGTGCTGGAAATAGCAAAACCTTTTATTTGCAATCTTGAAGGCTTCCCATCTAATTGTACAATTCAACTTTGCTGTATGTGGGGGTGGTTCCCCAGGAGGCTTCCAGTCCCTTGGCTGGCAAAGCATCTTTTAATGGTGATTCAGAATAGCGTCTCCTGAAGTGGGCCAAGAATATGCAGCTCTGGAAAGACAAAGATCAGTGCTTTGCCTTTCAGATGTGATCTGTGCCAAAGATGGACCCTCCAGTCCAGCCTGGAACAGTCCAGTCAGAGCTTCCAACTCTGCCCCTTCTCAGAGCTCTTTTTACAATATCCAGGGCAGCTGAAAAGTTATTAAATTACCCCAGGAACCAAAAAATTCCCAGAACCACAATTGTTTCCACACTCATGCATTTATATAAAATTTGACACACTCCAGTGTTTTTTATAATCTTTCTCACGTGCAGTCCTGGAACTCTGTTTTGTACGAAGTGGAAATGCTTATGAAAAATTTGAAGCCTTTCAATAACAGGAAAACAGTCTCCCTAATGGTGAGTGATTTGAGTTTCCTGGAGCATTTTTGTACTTTCTTTCATTTCTTTAAGAACTGGGTTCTGGGAGTTACTCAAGTAGTACGTGAACGTGGGAACCCAGGACATATTGAAACCATTTGGAAGCCTATGTTCTATAAATGTAGGGTTTAAAAGAATGTTTAAAATGGGAGAGGTTGTGAGAAATGTTTTAAGGGGAGGGGAGAAGTAACATGACTTGCTGGAGGGAAGAAAAGTACATTAGGAAACCTTGCAAAACCAAAGGATAATCCTACCAAAAAGACACTATGCTTGCATAATAACTTTAAAAGCTCTCAGTAGGGCTTTACAAATATTAAATAAGTAAACCTCCTAATACCCTGGTGAGGGTTATTAGATGCTCTAAAAAGATAGCTTAAGTAGGTGTACTTAAGTTAGAAGTGCTCTGAGAAATCTGGCTCCGTGAGTGCTGGCTGGATGACATGGTGGACGCTCTGTACCTTTCACTGTCTTGTGGTCTGCCCTGGAGAGCTGGGCATCTCCGTGTCTCTGAATGTCCCTGTTACCATATAGTGGCTCCATGAGGCTATAACACAGACCAGTCAGCTTACTACTCTGATTTATCTGCTCGTGGGACAGCAAGTGTGCTCCCCAGCACCCTGTCAGCTGCCTGGCCTCCTCTGGCTGTTTAGGAGCAGTTGTCTGGCCTCCTCCTTGCAAAACAGCTTGATGGCTGAACATAAGGGGGTGAGAGCAGCGCTGTTGGCTGGAGAGAGGTGTCTGCTGCCATAGGAGTTGATCTGCCCCTCTGACGAAGGTGTGGATATCCCACCCATGCTAACCAAGCTGCGTGCCCACCATCAGCCCTCCACAATGCACTTACTGTGCCATGGGCTTGCAGGGGGTCAGGCTGAGCAAGGAGTGGGCATCATGCCTTTTGTACCACTAAAGCGCCTGTGCCCTCCCAGGCACTGTCAGGCGGTGTTTGGGGAACAGTGGAGGGCAATTCAGGGAAAATACGAGGAGTGGCATTGTAGGGGAGGATCAGCTAAAGGATTCTGGCACTGACTGTCTCTGACATTTTCCCATTCCTGAAATAGTCAAATCATTTATATAACCTCTTGATGTATTGCAGGAGCTGTCCTGGGTCAGTTATGCTCAGCACCTTGAGATATGCTTCTTACTTGCATCATTGCATTTGGGGAAATAGGATTGGTCTTTGCTCAGTGCCTCATTATTTACACCAGAATTTCTCATGCTTAGTTATTACCTTCATTTAGTAATATATCTATACAGACTCTAAAAGCTTTCTGCAGTGTTAATATGCCTTCCATAATATGAATTAATACACTAATTCACGTGGCATTAAAATGACAAGAGGATGTTTAAACAGCTATATGCATTTGAAAATGACTACAATAAAAATGTGTTTTGTTTATGTACAAACTGCTCAGAAGGTTGCAACTGTGATTTCTTTAGCAGAGGCTTTCCCTGGCACAGTGGATCCTAGCGACTGTGCGTGTGACAGGGACAGGGGTTGGCCCACCATGGTTCCGGTAGCCCTAACAGTATGCTGCTGTCCTGAAGCAGCAGCCTGAAGGCTGGTCCATGAATATTGCCTTTAAACAGCTAAACAGCTTTAATCTGGCTCAAGAGCTGCTATTTGCTGCTTTGTATTTCTTGTACTGAACAGAGCCCTATATTTCATCTCTAGAAGTATTGCTCAATTCTTTAGTCCCAATGTTACAGCAGAAATGGGGTAAATACTTCTGATTCATAACAGACAGTTATCCAGTAATCATCCCAGCTTTAGGAGCTTTTGCAAAAAAAAAAAAATCAAGATATTGCCAAACAACTGTTGTCATCAGCTGTTTTTCTTCCCAAGCAGGCAATAAGTCAGCAAACATACTTTTTCCCCACAGATATCAACCCATGCCTTTAAATGCCTGGGAAGAGAAAGAGGGTTCCAGAGCAAAAGACTCCAGGACGTTTCAACTAATTGCTTCAGCTGGGGTATGACTGGCCCAGGGTGGAGGAAGGAGAACACAACAGGCAATCCAAACGCATATCAGGTATTGTAGGCCGTAAATACTTGATTTTGACCAGTTCCTACATCTAGTGCCACAAAACAATTAGATTTAACATGAGCTCTGCCTCAATCCTCAGGTGGATTTCACAGTAAGTGATGTTAGGCAGGCAGTTGGAGTAAACAAGTGTTTCTCTTCCTTTGCAAACTGGTGACCTCAATATTGAAATAACTTTTTACATGGCCTTTTATATTGGCTGCATAAATGGAATAGCTGTGTGTGTGGTATGGGGATCAGCATTTCTGTATTCATTGGACAGAAAACCCTTACTCTTAGAGCACAGCAGCGTGAGGGAAGAGGGTGAGTGGGATTTTCTTCATGTTTGACTATATTGGATTTTCCAGTGCTTCTTAATCAGGTTTAATTGCCTTCCACGTTTTGTGAGATGGAGGACTGGGATAACATAATGGTCTCTTTTGGTTCCTCTTTGACTGGAGTCATGAAGCCAGTTTTAACTATGATACAGATGTCATCAGGAATAGAAACTTCTCCTAGGAAATGAGTATTACTCCTCATCAGAGTCTATCTGGAAAATCTACTGTGAGTTTTTGTTTCACAGTCGTGTAACTGGAATCACCACAGCTTACACTTGGGCATTCAGAGCCTGCTTGACCAGATAGCCTATAACAAGGAAAGTAGATAGGGAACAGTTACTCTATGGCTTGTATAGATATAAGGAGAAATGTTAATGTGAAAATGAGCTGATCAGTCAGCTGCAGAGGTGAGAGTTCTTTTTATGAGAGTTAGATTATTATAGCTAAGAAACATCAGCTGTAGAGCAGTCATTGTTGGAGAGAGACACAGCTGTCTAGCAAGCCACTGAGAATAATACTACTCAATTAGCCAGCTTTATCCTCATGACTCTTGATATGTAAGTCAGTTGATTTTAGCTTTAATCATATAGCCTATCATTTTTTTTCTATTTGACAGAGGGCGTAACTGCCCCATTCCATTCCATCCTCACTAAATCCAGTGTGTCTTGTTCTGTCCTTCAATTGTTTCAAGGCGAGGTCAGGCTTTTCAAAACTGCCGTCTGGCTCCGAGAGTTACAGCTGTGGATTTTGCCTCTTCTGATGTCTCCCACTTACAGAATAATTCCCTTTTCCATATAAATACAGCTCTACTTGTCTGTGCGTTGAGGTTTAACCCATTCTGTTTCTTCTAGTAATCCCTGTGGGTAGGGCAGTAGGTGCTCTGTAGATGCAGCTTTCTCCCTCTGTACAGAGGCCTGCTGAAGGCTGGGAAGCAATAACTGAGACCACCTCTGTTGCCAAACATCAGTGTTGTGAATGCAAACGTCTTGTGTCCTCTACCACGCGGAGAGGAACATCAGCAGGATGGTGGGAAGCTTTCTACCCGTGGACAAGAGCAAGATGTTGTCCTGTCGTGGTGAGAGCTTGGTGACCTAGAATTTCAAGTGGTTACTAAACACCACTGGCTCAGCTTCATCAAGGGCCATCCTTTGCCTCTTACACTGAGCAACTTCTTCCACATGAATTGTCTCAGGGAGAATGAGAGGGCTGTTACAGGGTCGAATTCTGTATAACAAACTTAGGTTCCGTAATTAACTCTAAAACTTTGTGTTGAAAAAGATTTCCATGATGAATAACAAAGAAGAAAAATATTTTAATTTACAAGAAACACTGGTTGCTTGGCCGGCAGTAGCTGTAGGATCTGATCCAAAACCATTTATGTCAGTGGCTGTCTTTCTGTCCACTTCAGTGGAGCTGACCTACAGAGGGCTTGATTAATAAGGATAAATCATAATAAAGTTTAGTATGGCAGTGCCTAAGGCCTAGCATAGAGGCAGAGCTCATTTTTTTGAGCAGGCACAGAGGATGCCGTCTGGGTCGCTGGAAGCGTGCGCTCTAAACAGACAGGACACAAGAGTGCATTAGCAGAGTGAACAGTGCAAGCAACTGCCATGTCTGCCCCTTGCAATGGGGCAGGGGCAACAAGAGAGGAAAGTGAAGGGAGGGGAAAACAGTAATTTCCAGGCAGTGGAGAGAAGCCTGATATGGAATAAAAGAGATGACAAAAGAAGAAATTCATAAGTATTGATAGATGTTTCCATGTGATTACTGGTTTATCTTGGCAGTTGCTGGCTGATTCCCATTGTGTCTATGTATCCCAGACTCGCTGCACACACATTTAGCTAACCGGTGCACAGCCTCAGCAGAACAAGTTAGCTGAAGGTCTAAGCATCTGATCCCAATCTCACCAGCTTTAAAGGGTTTATGTACCTCTAAGTAAGCATGTGCTTAAATACTCTGCTAATCTGGGGTCAGATGCTCAGTATATGAATGTGGAAGGGCTTAGGGAGAGTTTTGTGCTGAGTAGGCTCTAAGAAGAGATAGTATGTTTGCAACTGGTGTAGCCAATCTGAAAGTACCATGAACACCAAATTAATCTCATTTGAAGGCTTTGAATTAAGTCTGTTTATTGTAGTGGAGCCTTCTACAACTCCCCACCTACTTTTTATTTACTGGTAGACTTTTATTTGGGAAAGCTGGAGTGTGAATGTCTACTCTGTGCTCTGCTGAATCATAGTACTGCTGTATGGATGAGCTTTTTTGGTATTACTATTAAAAAGGAAAGCCACATCAGTAGTTTCTCTCCCTTGCTGCTTTAGATTGCCTTGGATGCTTTCCTGTTGAAGTCTTAATCAAAAACTTCTTACTTCCCTGCTTCTTATCCTTTCAGTTTCTTCAAATGCAATGACTCAGCAGCCACAGGATGAATTTGACAGTAGCGTGGAGAATGCAGAAGCTTGGATGAAGGCCATCCAAGAGAGGCTGAGGATCAATGACAACACCAAGGGACCTCGATCTGCCCTAGAAGCCAGACTGAGAGAGACTGAGGTAAGGGAAGAGCAGTGTAGCAGTTCAGAGCCAGGTATCACTGGAAAGAGTTGCAGTTATTGATGTGAGCCCTGGAATTTTCCATTAGGGAACTATCTGCTATCCCCCTCTTGCTAGAGTCTTGGTCCTGTGTGGATGGTGTTGCATCAATATCCTTTCTAATTTTTCCTTCTGCAAAATGTTTACAGACATTGTAGAAAAAGAGGAAGGCAATTGTATATCACAGGTTTCCAAACTTTTCAGATTGACTTGAAAGTCTAGCAGCAGTTCTGATTTGTCAGATAAGAAGTTCACTCTCTCATATGAGCATATTCAGGAGCTGAAATGATGGTTGAGTTGCTGCTTGCAAGTACCAGATAGTGGATTTGCAAAAGTCCAGTATATAGTAGGCGAGAATCAGATCATCTTAGTGTTCCATCTCTTCCAGGACCCTAGCACTAACAGTGATAGAAAAAGACTGTAGGTCTGAGTAATGGGCACTGTAGAGTAAGCCAGTGGTCCTTTTCCATAAAGCCTGTTGATAAAGTGGATTTACAGCTTCCCTTCTGTCTAATGAAAATGCAAATGCTTTCATTTTTTCTGTTCTTACTTAATCGCTTGTATAACCATTCTCAGAGAGATCCCTTTGCAGGTTATGCCTGCTCTCTTGTTATGATTTCACATTCATTAACTTCAATTTCATTAGATGTTATCTTGGTTTTGTAATCTCAGAAAATGAAACACTACTGTTTGTCCCATCTCTACTATCCATGGTTAGGGGGAGTGGTGATATTTCTATAATTAGCATTGAAACTATTTTTATAATTACCTTTAATTCTACCTGGTCTATTCTCTAAATAAAACAGCCATATCTTCTCATTCTTTGCTCAAAAGTCTTATTTTGTGAATTTACTCTTGCTTGGACTTCCTTTTCTAAGCAAGTTTACTCAGCTCTAAAAAGCATTGCGAGCTTACGTGGAGGGGGGAGGTGGCTTATATGACAGTACAGTGAAGTCTTCAGTTTTTTTCTTAACTGGGATTCGTTGAAGGCTGGATCATGTCACTGGCCTAATATAGAGACTATTCATGGAGTGATGGATGATGGATATCAGTCATGAACATCTGAAGTGTTTCCTCTTGGAGGGTGGATTTGTTTCTACTCTAAAATTATCTGGGTCTTTTCCTTTTTATCTGGGAAATTAATATATGTACAGTACCCAAAGACCCACAGGAAAAATAGGATCTTGAGTAGGGAGAGTGGTAGTTTGGCAAAAGGTGTCTGTTCATGGCAGAGATGGCAAGAGTTAAGGTAGAGAGGTTTGTGGTGATTTGATATGGCCTAAACCAAAACCTATTGGTTTCTTTGGGCTTTGGAGGAGGTCCATAACATGTTAAAAATCATGTTTGAAGGGTGGAGCATTTTCAATTTGGATTTTGTTTTTCTTTGGAGTGATAAATTTCCAAAGTGCATATTTCTCTCTTTCTATGTGTATCTCACCTACCTCCTGCTCCCTCATCCTGCTTGCTTTGTGGGCCTGGCTTCCTCATGATGTGCTCACTGCTTCACTTATTGGCTCTTTTCAAATCCAGTGATCATTCTTCAGTTCCTTTTTTTACATCTGGCTGGCATTTTTTCTTGATTCCTTCCTGTGGTTTGTTTTTTGTTAATTTGTTAATAAAAATGCTAGCCAAGGACAGTAATCTTTTTTTTTTTTTTTAAAAAAAAAAAACAACCTTTGGAATAGAAAAAGGAATGTACAGCCACAGCTTGCTTTCTGACTATTGCTTGCTTTTACTTCAAGTGTTGGAAAAATGTCAGGTTTAGAATACAGATTTAACTTTTCAATTTTTTCTGTTGGCTGGTAGCTGTGGCTTTTATTTTCTTTCTCCACCACACCCTTTGCTCTGCTTTTCTTCTAATCACTCGTTTCATAGTAGATAGTTGGCCCAAACACCTGTTTATACGTAATATTGCAGATGTGCTATGTAGATGCCAAAAAATATCCGTCTCTTCCTAAAATGCGAAACTGGAAGTTCAAAGGCCTGTGATCTGGTCTCATCTTTGCAATAACTTACTTGCGTGTTTTGAGCAAATCTCATGGGCCTTATCTTTCCAAAAGTAGTTGCTACATTGTATAGAAGTTGTGCTAGTTTTCCATCCCTGGGTACAAGAAGAGAGTTGACATAAAATCAGATGGCTTAACTTTGAGTTCCTTGCGTTCAGGTTTGTGTAAGATGCACATCTTCACCAACTCATAACTTCACAATTTAGGGTTAAAAGTTGGTAACAGACAGAAAATTCTACTCGTTAATTTTTTTTGCTTGTTTTCTGAGCCAACTTTTATTTAGAATAGGAGGCCTTTTGAATATACGTCAGGATTTCTTATAGTACAGCTTAAAATTGAGGTGTTGCCGTGTTCTCTGTGGAGATTGTCTCTGTGTTCTCTGGAAGAAAAAGATTAATGACTGACATGTTGCAGCATAGTAGAATAACTTTATAACAGTAACGGAAACACAGCCACAGGCATTTGATAGGGGATGATCTGTTTTTGTAGCTAATTTAAACTGTTTTTTAAGTGCTACTTGTTTTCAAGTCAGTTCAGTCTTTCAGGATGGTTTAGAATAAACAAATCTGAGGAAAGTTCTTATTTTCTATTCAGGAGAAGCTTTGCAGCGTTGACATCATAATACCTGGGTAAAAAAAAAAAAAGCTTGAATGTCGTTAATTCTGCCTGCTTTCTTCTCATGCTTTCAGTCTCATTTATTTTTCTAATAGAAAATACGTGAGCTGGAGCCAGAAGGCAGCTTGAAAATGGACTTGATTCTTGTGAAGGCAGATGCTGCTCTTCGCAGTGTCAGTGAGGATAAGAAACATGAGGTACTTTCTAAACTGAAAGACATTAAGGCCTTGTGGGAGGAGACAGCCATATACATTACTCACTGCCACAGGTAAGGCAAATAAACTTTTCACACAAGACCACTGTTTGTGTGGTGGGGCAGTTATCTCATCCAGTGCTTTCATAAAGTGCTTCTTGCCTTTCTGTGCTGCTTGAACTGTGGGTAGCAATCACTGCTCATCCCAGTCACGAGAGCACATGGGTGACCGTGGGAAGAGACAGTCCATGAGACCTCAGTGCTCCCTCCCTTCACAGCCAATGCAGGTCAGGGACTTAAATGATGAATTTTGCTGGGCATAGTGGTCTTGTAGAGGGTATTTCCTCCACAGAACAGGGAGAACCTGGTAAATTAATACTGAACTTCTGAAGTCAGAGAGAACAGCTTAAAATTGCTGAGAAACCTGATCCTTTGCTCTGAAGGCATTTTGAACTTGCCAGTCTCCCCTGATCCCATCATAATTTCATCTCTTTTGCTCTCTCCAATAGCCGTATTGAGTGGGTCTGGCTGCACTGGAGTGAGTACCTGAAAGCCCAAGATGAGTTTTATGCATGGATTCACAACATGAGGGTGACCCTGGAGCCTGACATTGAGTTGCAGCTTGGCGTAAAGGAGAAGCAATGGCAGCTGAGCCATGCTCAGGTTCTGCTGAATGACGTCTTAAATCAGTCAGTCCTGCTGGAAAGGCTGCTAGAGGAAGCTGCTTCCTTGTTCAACAGAATAGGTGATCCCAGCGTTGATGAAGATGTTCAGAAGAAGATGAGGATGGAATATGAAGGAATCAAGGAAGAAGCTCAGGTGGGAGATGTTAAGTTTTCACTAGTGTATAGTATTGTACATAATTGTGAATAATATTTGCTACTCATATTTCTTGAGTGATGGAGCTATCCTGGCAGGGCTGCAAAAGGAAACAGGGCTGAGGGCCCCTGTTCTTTTACTCAGTGGACTGTTTGCAAGAACAATTGCAATGCTCTCACACTGTACTTTATAATGTGTTTGTGTAGACTAACTGCGAGCTACTTGTTGTAATGTAGTGAATATTGGTTTAGGTCATCTCTGTGTAAAGTTTGATGGATCATCTTCTGATGCATCAGTGATCCTTGTGTAATCAGATACAAAGTACCTGTCCACAACATCAGCAATTACTGAATGCATGCACCCTTGTTGGAGGATGTAGCATTAGTTCAAATTCAGAGCTATACTCCTCACTTGCAGACTGGCAAACATTGAATTGGGAATCAGGTGCTGTTCCAACACTGAACGCAAATGGCTAGTTCTGCTACCTGAAGGATTCTTACTAGACACAGCTAATTTCTTGCCTGACACAAATCTTCCAATTTAAGCAGCTGTTAGATAGGGTGGTGTTAGACATTCTAGTTCATCTTTCAGTGCCAGTGGTTTTCTTTCACACTATTTCTGGGTAAAGATTTCAGATGAGACTCATACTTTTCACTAAAAAATGGGATAAAGGATTAGACTGTGTGCCATGGCTAAAGGGCAGAGACCTGCAGATGGGCAGAAGCGTTAGTACAGTTTCCCAGTAGCCTAAATCAATAGAAATACTCAAAGGAATCTATCTCAAGCATATAGAGCTACTTAAAATATCATCTTTGTCTCAAAGTAGCTTCCAAGAATTCTGTAAGCTGGAATTACCTGATGCAAATGTAAACAATTTTCATTACATTGGCTCTACCATCTGCTTCTATCACTTTGTCACCTTTGCTCATGGAGATGTATGCTCTCCTTCCCTGGATTTCATCAGACAAGGTTAGCTTCAGATGACACTGCAAGAACAACACTGGGATACTCATGCCATTGTTCTGCTTGCTCTACAGATACTAGTCCTGTAAAATACAGGAGCTGGCAGCTTTCAGGATGTGAAACTAGTATTTTTTTTAGTAATAAAATAGTCATAACTTCTGTAATAACTCTCTACAAAAAAGAATATTTGGAAAATTCTGTATCTGTAGCTGCTGCAAAGAGCTGTAAATTGTCCAATAGACTTGCACCTCAACTTTGACTTTTTTTTTTTTAAGGTAGATCTCTTCATTACAAGGCAACTGATTTTTCGGAATAAGAAGATTCCTGGGACGTCAGGGTGTTGTGTCTCTAGATTGCCATTTAAAATTCTCACATACTCCCTTCTAACCAAAATTTGTCTTTGGTTTATAAGCAAGAAACAATCATTAGATATTCTAATAAAGCAGTTCTTTCAAACAAGCTATTTGAATACACAGAGCCTGACTCTGATCTCTCTTGAGACTGGTTTTGCATAGAGTAATTTCTCTAACTGACTTGGATAGATGCTGGTGTAAATGAGATCAGGAAGTGGCTCATAGTACTCAGTTAAAATATGCCTTCATGTCTCCAGCCAACTGAGATGCTAGAAAAAAGGTTCTTTTCTTTGGCATTAGTTGCAAATACCACATTTCACAGAAAGATAGAGTGAGAAAATTCAGCTAAGAAATCCCTCTTTCAGGAGTTAGGGAATAAAGAAGGGGGTTGGGAAGCCTCAGATTTTGCAACTGAAATAAATGCAGAGTTCGTTAGCTAATGCCAAGGTTACTGGCACCTTGGGAATCGCGCTGGAAAGCGTAACAGCAGTTAAAAGAAACCCTTCCACTGGGAGGGAGGAGTTAATGAAAGAGGCACAGGAGTTGTATGGGGCCCCTCTCATGAGGAGAGGCCAAGCTAAATGTGAATTGCAGATGCCAGCTGAATGCCTGAGCTGCCTGTCAGAGGAGGATTGCTGGTGTTCATAGCTTACACTTGTGGTTGAAGAACATTTTTAGATCCTGTGCAGTTGTCCAGCTCTATCAGAAGACAAGCTATTGAACACTGTTTCTTAAACGGTTTGCCCGTGACATTGCTCCTCTGGTATGAGCGTATGCAAGCTTTTTGGATTTTGATTTTTTTTTCTTCCCTTAGTGCTATCGTATTTCCTTATCATTGACAAATTTTAAAAGAATATCATTTTCTTTTAATTACATTGACTGGGGTGGGGTTTTCTTTAGGTGTGGCGGCCACTTCCCACATTCTCATATTCCCTTGCCCGATAAAATAACAATATGCAGAGGCAAAGGTTGTGATTTTTAGCATAAATGGTGACAGAAGGTAGTAGGAAAAGTTACGATATATGGTATGTTGATATTTATTCAAATTGAAGCCCTAGCAGGTCAAATCAGTTTCAATTCATGTTGTCTCTGTTAACTCAAACCTGGATATTTATCCCTCATGTACCCTGGAGCTACTAAGACTGAAAGCAGCAGGAAGGGCTACGGGGACAAGGTGCTCTGTCCTGCGGGTTCATTTGACGTTTCAGGTCCTTCCGTCCTCGTAATGCCACAGGGCAAAAATTCCTGTTCCACAACCTGCTGCCCCTGCGTGTGCGTGGAAGAGGAGGCTGGGTCCAGTCTTCCCTGCGTGCAGCACCGAGGCATCCCTCCAGCGCACGGAGTGCACGCAGGGCTTTTTGGTAGGATCTGCAGCTCTGAAGAACGCAGCCCTGAGGGACAGAGAGCTGGGGCAGCACTTGCCCCGAAAACGTAGATGCAGCTCCTGAGAGTGCTCCAGAATAGGCCAGCCTTCCCGGACATGCCCCTGCCACACTTCACAGCTGTGTCCCCGTGAGCCGTGGCTGCCTTTCACCTCCCTCGCGCAGCCCTTGGGCCACCCTGCGCTTTTGCCCTGCGCGGGGCTCAGCCCAGAGCTCGCAGCACAAACAGTGCCCCCAGCTGCCTGGGGCCCCTGTGGGAGGAACAGGAAGGGAGAGGTTGATTTATAGAGGCCGGTTTTAGGCTGCATTCCCATCACAAGCAGTGGGGAGGATCCCGCAGAGGGATGTAAAGCAGAAACTTGCTTTGTGTGTTCCAAATTGCCTTCCAGCGGAGGCTGTGTCCCTTCGTTGCCTGTAGGGGGAACTCTAGGAGAGGATTTCCTGGGCCTCACCTTACCCTCTGTGAGTGTCCAGGGCTGGGTGTATCCTGCCCTGACACATCTCTTCCTCTGCAGCTCACGGGGACCATTCTGTTCCTCTCAGTGCTCTCATTTCTTCCAGAGCCACATCCTTGCTGAGTAAGTCTGCTCAGGTTTTTCGAGTGTGTGTGGAGGCGGAAGGAGTTCAGTACTGTCCCATTCCCCAAAGAGCAAACCTAACAGCAAGTGACAGTATCTTTTGCATCATTAGAAAAATTCCCTGCCTAACCTTTTGGTGTGGGTTCAGCCAGCAATGTTAACCTTTTGCTTGACAGCTAGCAAAGTCTGTTCGTACTCGTGTCATTTCCTTGACCTCCCTGACCAGCAGGAGTATCCAAACCGTGCGCTCCTTTGTTTTGGCCAAACAGTCTGTCCTGGGGGACGTTGTTTCTACTTCCTCTTTAATGCTCTCTATATTAGTGTAATGGCTCTGTTCTGTTAATCTGACTTGCTCCCTCTGGAGCTTCTGATTTTGCCACTTGTATTAGTCAGTTCAATAAATGGGCCTAATTCCTGGGAATGAGTGAACTTTGACTGACTTGCTTTGGCCAAATGTTTGGCCCATTTACACTCCTAAGAGCTTTGACTTGAGCTCAAAGCAATAGTTGTTTCACACAGAATCACACAGAATCGTTTAGGTTGGAAGGGCCCTCTGGAGATCATCTAGTCCAACCTCCCTGCTCAAGCAGGGTCACCTAGAGCATATTGCCCAGGATCACATCCAGACGGGTTTGGAATATCTCCAGGGAAGGAGACTCCACCACCTCTCTGGGCAACCTCTTCCAGTGCTCTGTCACCCTCACAGTGAAGAAGTTTTTTCTCAGGTTCAGATGGAACTTCCTGTGGTTCAGTATCTGCCCATTGCCTCTTGTCCTGTTGCTGGGCACCACGGCACCATACAGTTTAACTAGTATGCATCTCTGCAGACTTGAGAATCAAGGCAAGGAGGCCTAGCACAAAAGCAAGGTGTTGCTGGATACATCTTGGTCGCAGAAGTGTTACCACAGTTCTCCCTTTTGGTCTGTCATCCAAACCCCTGTTTGCACAGGTGATTCTTTTAAAGGAACTGCTCTAATAAGGGGGCAGCGTTTTGTCCACTGTGGGAAGCAGTACTGTGCCCAGTTGTCCCTTAGTTGCTCTCTGGTCCCAGAGCAACTCAACTAACTGTAGGGGAGTCACTCTTGATTTGCACATATCAGCAGAGATAAGAATGTCGTTGTGGAAAGCACTGGCTCGATGAGGCATGGTGAGAGCGATGGCTTTGCACTGCACTGTGGGCATAACCAGTCCCAAAGGTAAGGGCAAAGCCCCCGAGGGACCATCCCTCATTAGTGCAAGGGGGTTCTGGTGGTTGCTTGTGTTCATACAACCCTTCTGCTGGCCTGGGACAGCAATGTCCCTGTGCCACCTCGGGCGGATTGATGGAGTGGGGGGCTCTGCCCAGAGGCTCACAGAGACAAAGGAAACGCAGCGAGGACTTCCTTCCATTGCAGCTATCCTCCTGCTCCCTGGGGATAGCAGCTGGGATCACGCTCTGCTCAGAAGCATGGGATGTATCCCATATTACGCAAAATGAAACCTGGCTGGTTATGCCCATTGTGTCAGCAAGAGCAAAGCTTTTGAACGGTGCTGCAAGCACTAAATGTATTGCACAAGAGACAAATTTTTTTTTCTAATGTAACCACAGTGTAACTCCATTGTTCCCCATGCCAGCTGGGGAAGGGCAAGAAAAAAGTCAGTCTGAATTGCAGGAAATAAGTTTAGGTTGGATATTATATTAGTGAAACAACAAAATGGGGTTCCTCATGATCATGTACAATCTCCTTCAGAGAACGGCTAACCTTCAGCTGACAAACAGGGATGATCTGGGCAAATGTGATCCTGCCTTGTTATAAGGGGTGTCAGTCAGGCTGGGTCAGCTATGGGCAACTCATGGTGTTCTGTCCTCTGTCAGTCCAGGGATGCACAAAGAGTATCCCAGAAAATCCAGCCTGTTGCCCATAGGCTTAGCTTTACTTTCAGGGTCTGCAGTACCACCAGACGATCGTTTGTGATCTGCAAATGGAAAAAAACACAAAAGCTCCTGGGCTACACAATTTCTAGGCATACCCTGAGTTGAATCTACAGTCACTTTCTTTACAGCCTGTTTAAATAGTGAATGCTTTGAAATAATTTGCATGTACCTACCCCAGTGTATTTCTTTCTCATTTGGACAGGCAAAGTAAATCTATTCTATGCTCATCTTTATTTTTTTACTAGGGAACTTAGCTGCTTGCCCCCCTGAAGCCAAAACCAGAAACAGACTTCTGTCTCTTCTTCTTCCTATGAGGGAATATGAATTTTTGGAAATGGAAGGCTAGAAATTCACCTGAGAGGATCTTGCAGTTTGCCTGCTCAGAGACTAACCGTTGAGACAGTGCAGCATGACCAAGACTTGGGACAAGCCTTTATGTACTTTTGTGTCCTCTTTCTTGGGATGAACTGTGAATTCCTGCAGAGACAAGTGCTGTGGGAGCTCACAGAAAGGGACTCTTGTTTGAATTTTCTGGGTTAGAGGATGAAGGAAAAAGAGCCAGATAAGCACTATCCTCACTGCTTCTGATGTCTCTTCGTTACAGAGCAGAGTGAAACTGCTTGAAAAGATAACCAAAGAACACGAGCGGTACAGCGCTAACGTCAACCGATTTCAATCGTGGCTGAATGGTGTGACAGAAAGATTAAACGGCTGCATTGGAGAAATAACCAAGTCTTCAGCAGAGGACAAGTTAAAAGCACTACAGGTCCTTATATGATACGCTTCTGCCAAGGGGCCAGGATTGTGCGTTCTCCATGTCTGTATATATTTCCCAAGCCATGCAAGAGCGTACTTAGAAAAGAATTACATAAGCAAATTAAGGTGATAATTGTAACGTGAGCTGGGGGAGAGATTTACATCAGGTCCAAAAGATCATTAGCGTGTATGATTCTCCCAACTGGATCACAGGTCACAGGCGGATCAGGATTTTTTTAAAGCCTAATCTTCCACAGTTATAGGAGTCTTTGAGAATCATACCTTTAAATTTTTTTTAAATGAATGGTATTTGGTCATCCAAATAGAACCTGAAAGCTGACAGGCTTTGAAAGTTTAGAGCTGGAGATAAAAGCACCTGCTTTGAAAATAGTCTCTAACATTTTGATTCTATGGCTTAAACTGTTCATCTTTAAATCTCTCAGAGGTCTGATTATCAGTTCTAATTACTGCCTGCAGTTCCTGTTGTGTTCATCACGGACCTCAGGTGGCAAGTATTTCTGAAAATCAAGCCAATATTTCCAGAGAGCTAATATTTTCAATAGTTTCTTTTTGCTAGTATTGTGGCAGTTAACATTGCTCAGAAGGCTATTAAGTGCAAAGGAATAGATCAACCTTAGCACCTGGCCACTAGAGAAAAGGCATACTTTGACATAAGAAGTAAAGAAATAAAAATGTACAGCCAGGAAAGAGGATTTCATTTTCCTACCATTTTCACCTTTTTTCCCTAATTTACTCTTCCCCCCAGCTTATTTTTATTTAACTTCCTCTTTCTGCAGGAAATTGCCAAAAACATTAGGAATGGTGGAAAGAAATGGAAGCATCTTGAAAGTCAGTGTGCAGATGTGATTCAGAATACCTCCCCGCTGGGAGCTGAGAGAATGAAGTATGAGCTTGAAGAGCTGAGAAAAGCCTTGGAGAAGTTGAAACTGCTGTGTAATGAGGAAGAGGATAGATTGCTCAAGATCCTACAATCAGAAAGTGCCTATGAATCCCAAGCCAGACGATTAGAAGCAGACGTTCAGGAATTCAGAAAAGATCTACAGAAACTAGAAAATGACTTGGACCCTGGGGTGGGGGAGAAGAGTGAAGATGAGTGTGTAGCTCTGTGGAGAAAATGCAACGTAAGTTGTTGCGCTTTGTAAGCTTAAAATCAGTAGGTATCAAGCTCAGTCCTATTCCTTGTAAATTGAACACATGTAGTCACATCTAACAGATGCCTGTCCCATTGTTTAAAAGTGATAAGGAAAGAGTAGGAGTGTGTATGAAAGAGATTGAAGAAAACTCTGAGTAGCAACAGTGAAATCAACTATTGGAATCTTTATTTTATTCTGCACAAGAGGTAGTGTGGAGGATGTAATGAAGTTTGTGTCTTGACTTCAAAGGGATCGTATGTGGAAAAAAGCACAGTGCAGAGCAAACGATACAGTTTGTTCTACATATAAAGAAGCAGAAAAAATACTGTCTCATGATATATATGTGTATATATATGTATATATATATATATGAGGGTATATACATATATAGTTTGGGGTATTTGGTGGGACCATTTCTCTATTACATCCTTCATTTGTGCAAGGTGGGTACCTGTGCTCCCCTATCATGAGATACATGTTCATGCTTAAGAAGAAATCTGAAGTTTGTAAAAATCCAATATTTAAATCAAAATCAAACTGTTGACAAAATAAGAATGAAAAAAGTTTTCCACACATAAAGTAGGTAAGAATTTTTAACAGTCATTTGCTCTAGAGAGTTGGCTTTGCATTTATTTTCGCTTGTCAAAATACTTTTCATTGCTATTCGTATGGCCAGCAGTAGGCAGGTCTAGTTGGGAAAAGTACGTGCAAACAGGATCCACAAAATACAAACTAGTTCAATACAGCTACATTTGCACTTTTTTTTTTTTCTCCTGTTTCCTCACATAAGCATAGAGTTAACCTCTTGTACATATGAGTGTTTGAGAAAGATCTCTGCATGCAAACAAACAGTTAAGACTGTGCCAAGCATGGATCTCACATTAGATCCTGCAATCAGAAAACTGGAATTGGGCTTGTTTGTGATTCACTCTATTCAAACAGTGGATCAGATGCAGAGGCTAAGTAGTATGAGGAGAGTAGAGAGAGCTTGTAGGAGCAAAACTGTTCCTGAGAATGTAGTCTGTCTAACAAAGTCCATATTCGTTACAACCATGAGAAAAGGTAGCAGAAAGAGGAATTGTGGCTAGCAATGTCCCTACGTTGAGAGACAATCTTTTCACTCCATTTCATGTGAAAGGCACTAAATAAGGTGTGATCTGTTCATTTTTTGTATGTTTTAGGCAACAAGAGCATCTCTGGCTGTAGAAGAGTCCAAGGTTGAGAGACTGAAAGCTCAGCTTAAGGAACTGCTACATTTTTCCCAAGATGTGCAGCCACATGCTGAGAGTGTTGTCTCTGCCATACAGGAGTATCAAAGGTATTGGGAAGTCTGATTATGTGAGGGAGAATCTTCTCTGACACTGAGGCGATTGACAAGGGCATATGAAAAAAGTGTGAAATGCTGTCTGACTGTAGGTGACGGGGTTAGAAAAGAAGGGTTTTTACCAGTTACGTCACAATTTTAGCCATTTGTTTGGAACTGCAGGCTGCTGGCCGTTTTCAAGTAATGATCTTGCGTCATTAATGTTACGTATATGTGTGTTTGAAGAAAATTAGGTTGTTTGGCAGCTAATTTAGTCTTCTGAGCGTTGTATGATAATTTATGTATTTTGCTTGCCTTTCACAACAGCAACTAGAAAATCAGGACAGGAGCCGTAGTGGTAAACGGTTTAGAAGAATTATGGCCCTTCCTTTTTGAGTTTGTTGTGATGACTCATCTGCCTTAGCAGTTATTTGGCAGAGTTCATTCCCCCTTCTCCTGACGGCATATATGCGTAACTCCTGTTTTCAGCTTGCCTTGGGTTGGAAACGCTGAAAGTTTAGCCTCTCCCCAGACTTCAGTGTTTCCGTCTCCAGGCTGCCTGGAATCAGGAAGTAAAGAAGCTGCAGCAAATTTTTCAAACTAGAAGAAAGGATCGTTTTTTGAGGAAAAAGAAAGGTCAGTTTTTTTTACTGTATTCAAACTTATTTTCCTGTGTCCAGTGCACATTGTGCTGCCCATCTGGAGGGGTTATAGGTCATTATGGAAAAGGATTTCACCTTTAAAAATCAGCAAGTAAACAATGTTGAAAGAGAAGCAGAAGAACTTGTCTCTGAGTAGAAAATGGCAGCTGCTCTTTTACCAGCTTCTCTCCGAAGCTACTTTGCAGAGTGTGGCAGCTTCACGCTGAGCCTGGCAGAAGTAGCAGAGCAAATGGCAAAGAGCCTTTAATATCAGAGCTTTCCATTTGCAGAGCTCTTGGTCTCGGCAAACTACTCTTTGTTTAGCTCAGAAAAATCCTAGTGACAAAGTAAGGTTATTAGTTCTGCCCTTATAAAAAGGCAGAGTTGATCATGATTTCCTTGGAAGCCTGTGGCATTGCTCTTGCTTGCCTGTCCTGGGAGTCTGCAGGATACTGTTCCCGTATGAACATATAGTTTGGGCTGCATGCTACCATTTCAAATAGGATTCAGCAGACTTGGGAGGTCAGGAAAGCTTAGAAAAACAGGAGGCAGCTGCATGGGGTGTGTCGCTGGTAGGCCTTGTTACTCAGCTGTAGTTTGGTTAAGCCTGTGTAAGAAAAGCCTGGATATTTAGTGAATGTGTGCTGTTTTTATTTAGTCTCTGATTTATATAGAGAGAGACATGTATAGATTTATATATGTGTGTATATATATACATATGTAGAAATGTATATGGAGAAATAAAAAATATATATGCAATTCTGCAAGGTTTAAAAAAACTAGATCTGAAGACAAAAAAGATTATGTATTTTTCCCCTTTTTTATAGGTAACTGGAGGTGATCACAATTTATTTTTAATTAGATTTTTAAAGATGCAAATACTCTATAATATGTGAAACAGTTCAGACAACTGCAGTTAGAGTCTACATACTCTTGGCTTGTTTCTCCCACCAGTCAGTGAGACTGCTGCCATAATATTATGTGGTAAATCATGCCGGTGATAGCAATGCTTACATACAAGACAAGAATGCTTAGTGCTAGGGAGCAGAGTAATTCCTGATATGTAGTTGCACAAAAGAAAAACGTGTCTCATAGCGTCTAAATAAACTTTTGTCAGACATCTCCAACTGACAGAGCAGCTGTCAGTGTGCAGTACCAGACTCAGAGAGTAAAAAAGACTGAGGCCTTTTGTGTTGGATATGGTTTATACACGAGGATTGTGTTAATTCATGCCTTGATGAATAGGATGTTTGGACTCAGATTTCTTTGTAATCCTTCTCTCTGTTGTCACTTTATCCATGCAGTGTTAGAGGGAAGACATCTAAAATGAGCGTTGATACAGAATGTCAATTGAGGAGGCTTTTTCAAAATCCCCTACAAGATTTTGAACAGTGGAAGCTATCAGTCAAGATGCTCCTGGATGCTCCAGAGCCAGCGCTGGCTCAGATTGAGGTAGCAAACCTATTACTAAGTTAAGAAACTGATACTTGGTTTGTATTTGCAAAGCTATGACAGCAACCGCCTGCATACGGCTGTCAGACAGCAACAGCTGGAAAGGTATTTGCAATATGATAGGAAACCCCACAGTACAGAGGTCAATCCTTACCTCTAGCTGTGGTAGAATGCCCTATTTTCTGCCCTGCGTTTGGTGAGCTAGAGCTGTCAACTTAAACTAAGTTAAAATACCAGCTGTCATTAGCAGTGATTATAATGTTGTTTAGGCACTAACCCCAAATCTGCCTGGGCAGGAAGTCTGTGAACTCTGCTAATAAACATACAGTAACATAGTTCAGAGATTACAATGTATGATTTCTACAAGTGCCCTGAAAGGTGTTTGTAACTTTGTCATCCCTCTGATCTCTGGAATAAACTTGTCTGTGAACAGGAAAAGAGTTTATCTTTGGGGGGAGCATTCAAGCTGTCCTTTCTGCTGGATGTTTAGGCCTCTCCTTTGTACGGACAACTCTCTCTATAGTACGGTTTTCCTCTATTTCTGTTCACAAAATGGATGCAGGCCTGGTGTTTCTGACATTAGCAGGAAGACTTCTCCTTTAACTGGCACCATGCAAGGACCACCTGTTATCCTTTGGTGGCCCAGCAGGATGTTTTTACCTGGCTTTGTCATACTGCTTTGGTTGTGTGACTTGTGTGAGAATAACATGGTTGTGTGATTATTTTATTTTAGTTATGATTTCACTGGAAGAATTTTTCTCCTTCAGGCTGCTCTAGCTGAAAGCTCTCAGTTCAAAGAGAAGTTGATGACATTACAACTGAAGAAAGATTTGTTAAACAATGTCCTTGGTGAGGAAGAAGCAAAGTCTCTTCTGGTGGAAGTAGCTGAAGCTTCAAAGGAGAGGGAAATTCTACATAAAAGTCTGCTGCAACGCAAGCGCAAACTGCAGGTGAGCTGCAACCCATCTACAGTTTTGTCCATGACAAAGACTATGATTAATCTTTTATTAAGCCAGTTTTATAGCAAGAAATTTAGTACTAACAGCTGTGCCAAATACCTTTTTCTAGGTTGATCAAATATTCATGGGAAGGTATGGCTTGTTGAACAGTGTGACTTAGTCTTATTCCAAGTATAAGATGGACATGGACAAAAAATAATGTCAAGGACATAATACTGAATGGTACACTTTTTTTACCTCTTTCTCCAGAATTTGATATTGCAACATCAGGACTTTGATGCTGGTTTTGCACCTTTGCAGAATAAATTATCTGCAATCAAAGCCAAAGTAGATCTAGAGAATGAACCGCAGCCTGACCTCTTAGGAAAAAAGACACAACTCCAGAGACTCCAGGTACGTTACCATAAATGTCTGTCCATGGTATCCTCAGTTAACTGTGCTCCTATTTGTGCATGTAGTGAAGCTCATATCTATCTTCTGAGGCTAAATTAGTGTTTTATTAGCATTAGAAATTCAGCACCTTGTCCCCTCAATTGACAGTGTGTCAGATAGTTTCATTTGGTCCAGTTTATAGCATGGACTGGAAGAAATTGAAGGAATGCAGCTGAAGGACTGGCAAACTGGTGTACAAGGGAAAGAACAAGCAGCTGAAAGCTGTTGGTTCCACAAAATCTTGAGCTTTTTGCCGAAGAAAATGTGTTCTCATAGTACCTGCTGGGAGTGAAACTGCACAAGATAAACTGATCTAACAGCTTACTTCCTCCAAAAGCAGGAGCTCACGTGGTCCTACCCCCTTCCACATCCCTTGTTCCTGCTGTTTACTTTGTCACAGCTTTGACACTCACCAGATTTACTCCAAGAACTTATTCAACTGGCCAAAATAGGAAAAAATTAATCAACAAAAAAGGTGATGATAGTTTTCTGCCTAGTTAGTGTTTTGAATTGGTTCAGCAAAGGGTCCAGCATGCAACGGAGCCTGCTTAAGGCATGCAGTGGCACTGGCTGTTGGGAGAGGGGAGAGAAGAGAAAGAGAGGAAGAGAAGGGGAATGTGATTCTTCCTTTTGACTGTGATGCCCTGTAGAGACTCAGCTATATTGTGTCACCTCGCCAATGGTGACCATAGGGATGTTGTCACCATAGTTTTTTGCAGTACTTAGCTGCAGTACCATCTCTCCTCTGGCAGCTTCTTAGCAGCTTGTCTTCTTTGTTATCAACTGCTAACATGTAAGAATATCTAACCATTTGTTTTGGAAATGTTCACTTCTAGACATCAGAACAATTAATTTGCTTAATGACAGTGTTTCTTCTTTATTTGCCTTCACACTGTCAAATGATACTACCTTTATTTAGCATATGTTTGTATATCCATCTGGAGGGTCATGTTACATCTAGCACATTACCCACGTGCAATCTGTCTTTTCCTCTGCAGATGATCCAAGATGATTTGGCAGAGCTTGCAATTCAAATGGAAGAGGTAGAGAAGCTTGTTCAGTCAAATACCACACACAGGCATGAAATGAACCAGCTTTCATCCGATTCTCAGGCCCTGAAGAGATCGCTGGAGGTAATGTGCAGAGGAGTTTTTAGCTGCCTGTGGAGTTAACAGCTGTCACTGTTTTTTTTTAAAAAAAAAAAAAAACTTTTACCATATGACAGTGTATGCTTTGAATGATTGATATTTTCATTTCGGGTGAGGAAGACATTCTCCATAACTGGAGAATTCTGGAGGAGTTTTCTGTAATGTGACTTTCCACTGGGAAAGGATACCATCCACACAGATTTTTGTATCTATATAAATTGTTTCTGGAGAGGGCCTGAGTTTTTTGACCAGAAGAGCTTGTAGTTTTATTAACGTGGAGGTCCTTGGACTTGTTCACGAATTCCTAGACAGTGCTATAGCATTGAACCAACTATTTGTTGCTCTGTGTGTGTGTGTGTGTGTGTGTGTGTGTGTGTGTGTGTGTATATATATATACACACATATATATATATAAAGCTATACCAACTTATACAGCTGTATGTAACCTAAAAGTTAATGAGGAAAAAAAGTGTTGCTACTGCATAAGAACTCATTTTGACCTGAAGCTTTCTGTAGTTTATAAACATAGCTATAAAATTTCCTTCCAAAACAATATCAGAAGAGCCTCTCAAATGACCTTTAGTTATGTAGGTCAGCATAAAATTACCTCTAATAAAGTGCTACCTGATATGCATTGTAGAATTCTAGTTTGAGTTTCAGCAATTCCATTTATCACTGGATTGAATTTTTGCCAAGAACTAAAAAGGGTAGGATAAATCTTCTTGTCTATGCAGTTATCTCTGATTCAAAGAATGTAAAAAGTAGGTAACATTGGTTGAGGTATTAAAAAAATGTCATTCTTTATCTTGTTTACTCTGAAAAGAGAGTTATCCTACTGCTTAATGCCCCCTCCAGCGGCTGAATTCAGGCCTGCAGGAGCCTGTAGATAAGTCTTCCATGCCATTGATGCTAAAGGCTAAAGCTTTTTTGTCTCTTTAACGGTTCTTTTTACTTTTTGTTCATGAGATTCTGTGTCATTATTCAGTGTTGGATCCATTAATGAAACCTCCTTCTGCATGTATTCAATTGCTGACATATTTTTATCATTTGTAGGTGATGATACAAAAGAGCGAGGAGCACATTCAGAAGCACTGGACATTTAATGACAAACTTTCCGATCTCCAGCAGTGGATCACAGTAACCACCGAGAAGCTGGAGTCCTACCAGTGTGCTGATGGGGAGAGGAGCACTGAGGGCAGGGTGGCGGACCTTGAGGTGAGGAAAGTACCTTAGTGTAAGGCGTTAATTATTCACTATGCAGCATTCAGACTTTAAGGGAAGGGATATTATAGCAAGGAGCTCCTGGCTGCAGAGAGCGATAGCGGTTTGTTCCTCCTCAGACAGCTGTTGGTTGCAGCTGCCTCCCTGCTGCTTTGCCTTGTGCTGTGGGGTATAGAGCTAGGTAAAAGAAAAGAACAGTGAGGTTGTGTTGAAATGGCTAAAGTATTATCCAAGCAGAAGCGGTCTTAAAAGTTTTTCCTGTCAAGATGGTCTCTCTGGACAATACCCACCTTTGTCTGTATGTTCGAGTCAATACATTGAACATTACCTTGTTAGCTAACCTCACACTGTATCGAACTAAGCTCTCCCACAGCTGCTGGCTTTTGCACGTGTAGCAGTATTTTGCGTGCTTGAATCACTCCACTAGATAATGTCAGCTGGCAGCTTTTATTTTCATAAGAGGAAACCAAGATATCTCATAGGGAGGCTACAGATGCACTGACAGCTTTCCCCTTTAAATTTTGCCATCAGCTCTTTGACCTATATCGGCTCTTTGCAAGAATCCACAGCGTATTTTTTTTCCCGATAGGTATTTTCTAGCTAGTATCAACAGAACCAGCATAGTCCCGGACTGAACATGGCCTTCAGTCTGACATACACTGCTTTACCCAGGATACCTAGAAGTAACTGTAAGGGCTATACGTTTCAGAGATTGCTAGCTGAGTTTCCAGATAAGGAGATCCATCTTCACCTTGTGGAAGCTCATGGCCAGCTGGTCATGGAGAATTCTTCCCCAGAGGAGACTGCCCATGTCCAGGCAGAGCTAGATCAATTGAAGGAGTCCTGGAGATCACTCAAAGAGATGGCAACCAGGTAAGTGGGCATGTACATCTTCCTCCTCTTACTTCAAGGGGATGCTCTTTCCTGCTGTATGACCAGAAACACTTAGTGCTTTGTGCTCTGTGCTGTGAAAATGAAGGGCTGCGTTACAACACTAGGGAAGAAAGTTGAGATTTTACTTAACTTCTTGTAAATTGGAAACCACAAATTTGAAACACCACCACTTTGGAGAATCCAGGGACAAGAATAGTCTCTGCTGCTGCCTTTTCATCACACTTCAAGTAGGCAGTATTTCCTTAGTGCCTGGACTGCCCTTGTAGAGCTGGTCCACATGGCAGAGAATAGGACAGAGACCCACTGACTTCTGCTGTTGTGCCTCGCCTGCTAGGTCTCCTTTGTGTCTCATCTGGGGTTATCGCCAAGGAAGCTGCTTCTGCACTGGGATATGTGCCTTTTGCAAACCTGCAGAAGCCTAAGCAGAGCCAAAATGCTCCCTTAGCTGGCAGGGGTAGACTTCATTTATTTTGGACCCACAGTACAGTGTCTAACCACTGTTCAGATTTGCTAGTGTGAAATGTAAATTATTAAAATTTAAATTATTAAAATGTAATATTGTGCTACATGCGTGAATGTGTGTGTATTTTCATACATAAATAGTTACAGAATAGGCATGAAAATGGACTGGTTAAATTGAGGCAGGCTTAATTGTACTGCCTGCTGTTTTTGGACCAGAAGGTATATTGTCATGGTAGGGGTCTTTTGCCTCTCTCTTTCCCCCTGCCCACCCCAGTAAAGCAAAACAAACTACTCCAATGAAAATGTTAGGCCTGGAGAACTGGTACTGCTCTGGAGTACTCCTGATTTGGTCTTATTTTGTTCATAAGTTGGAAATAACTGCAGTAGTAACAATGTTATTTCTCTAGAGGTGTCTCCCACAGCCCTAGTCGAAGTGTGGATGTTGCATCATTAACTGTGTCACTGCACTGATATCTCTGATTTTGTGTTTTCAAGCCTTCTCAAAAGGTGGCAGTTAAATAGACCATTGGCTGGTGAAAAGAAGAAAACAGACTCTGTGGACAGCAGACAAATATCTGGACCGGCCTTCCGTCCTTTAGGTGTAGATCTCAGTCATAAGCAGGTGAGAGAGGGATTCTGTCTGCTTCCGTGTCAGCTTCACAAAAACAAATTTATTGGTTTCATCTGATATTACAGGTTACAAGGTTGGAGATGAAGATCTTGCAATCAGGCATTCAGAAGACATGTCTGACTTATATAAAAGGGCTTTTTTATTCCTGTTTTTCTGTAACCTAGGAGAGGAGAGGAGAGCGGCAAAATAAAAGCAGCCACCTTAAGCTCCTACATGACTTTGAAGAGTGGTTACAAGGAGAAAACACCAAACTGACCAAAATTCTTGCTCTGGAGTCATCTTCTGTGGAGGAAATTAAGGCACGACACAGCAAGCTGGAGGTTAGTTTTCAGAGGATGAAAAGGAGGTGAAAGTTGCAGTCAGTGAAAGCTCTTTCAGAATTAAAGAAGCATCTTGTGCTGGAGAGACTAGAAAGCTCAGGAATTTAGAAGTAGTAAAATACTTCTCCTACTAAGGAAGGTCTATCAGAGTCAGAGTGGTAGAAGGAAGGGAGCAGCCTGGCCTGTAGCTTTTGGACTGGATATTTCCAGCCTGGTATGGCAAAGGTGTTCATTAAAGGAAGATGATTAAAATCAGTGGCTGGTATCTGGCCTCCGTATTTTACTTTCTGTTGAATGCAGTCAGATATAACAATAATGGAAGCTGTAAGAGCAAATGGAACAAATGGGTCTTTCAGATTAGCGGACCATTCTGTACCATTTCAGGCCAAAAAAGTAATCACAGAGATAAACATGCTGATCCAGAGTACTTAGTTGTTTGATTTAGTGCCGCTGTTCTTTTAAACGCTATATTATGAAAGTGGGGTCTTGTTCAAATTCTGAGTTGCTGGTGATGACCCTGTCTTTGCCTGCAGGAGCTCCAGTCTAATGTTCCTGATGGTCAGCGTCTCTTTGAAGACCTCCTTCATCTTCATCCTGTCACTGGAAACACTGAAGATCTGGAGGACTTGCGTTACCGATGGATGCTCTACAAATCTAAACTGAGAGAGTCCCTGAGTTTGCCGGTAGGTGACAGCACTTGACTCGCAGTCACTGTTGATCGCTGCCATTGCTCTTCTGGGTTGCTAGTCCCAAGTCCAGAGCGCATATGTGTGTGCTTAAATAAGCAATCCTTGATGAATACCATTAAGGCAGTACAAACATAACTGTGTGTTTATAAACATAAGCACAAGCATTCTTGTGTTAAAATAAGTCTTACACTGTCTTTTTCCTTATGTAAACAATACTCGGAATAGTTTTCATAGTAGGAAGTTCAAAACAAAAACAATTGGTCAGTGTCAAAGATGCACACAGTTGCTGTTTATATGTGTAAATACTCCAAATTTATAACCCGTTTGGGCACATAAAGGAATCTTACTCTGAGACTTCTAGCTTTTGGCCCTTTCTTGGCAGAACATTCTTCGCTGAATTCTTTGGAACAGTTCCTGCAATAAGAATACGTTCACCATTCATTATTTGTCTCCTGCTGTGAGGCATAGTGATCAGAATAGCCACAGAAGGACCTATCCCTATGTACTTCCTTTGAGAAACTTTCTTCATGGGCTAAGAATTTGGAATGGAATAAAAAGGAGGTATTTTTAGAGAAAAATTGCAATGTATTTTAATGTGAGAAACAAAAGATTAAAGAACTTATCAAGGTAGTATACAGAAGACATACTGAGGATGACAGAATTTATCCCAATACATAAGATATTCCAGGTCATGCTGAAGATATTTCCAAGTTCTTAGTGTAAGTATACATAACTATTAACTAACATTTTTCTAGCATAACAATTAATTTTGTGTGTTCAAAACACAAAAAATACCTTATTCAGAGGATTAGACTTCCCAGTTGTGCATTTGGCACTCTCTACATACTTGGTAAGTATATAGAAGTGTGTAAAGTGTATACTTTCTATATACTTTGAATAGTGTCTGAACCTGAGCACCTAAAATTTGAGGCACCAAAATTGTTTCCACTATCAATGAAGAGCCTATTTATAAGAACTGTGTAATTGATTATAATTAGGTATTTGTTGTTAACCGAATAGCTTGTGTAAACCTAAATATTGTCAATAGGGGTCAGTAAAATCAAAGCTATTGCTACTAAAACAATCTGATTCAAATAGTCAGGAACCTGAAACCATTTTAGCTCTGTTCCTAATGTGCGTTAAAAAGCTCATTAAATAAAAATCACCTGCTGGTTCACTCTATCCAGATGACCATGAATGTGAAAGAACCATCCCCTGTGAAGTGCATATTCATTTATAGGCTCCACTGGGATCTAAGTTCTTTTTTTTTTTTCCAACAGATTCCTAGCTCTTTGGAAGGACCAGACAGATTCAGAAAGGTACGAGAATTTCCTATCATTAAACTAAAAAAAGGTATGATCAGGCATTTCACACTTAATTATGTTAAATAATCTTTTTTTTTTGAGATTCTTGAGATTAATTTGATGTTTAAGAGCCTCTCTTTGAAATACTTTTAAAAAATTATCCAGATTTTAAAAGGGAAAAATATTAAGCTTGTTTTACTTATAAAGTTTTGCTCTTGAGCTATGCTTGCTATATCTCTAGAAGCTAAATATCTATCTTCTGGCAGACTAAAGGAACTCATCTTTTGCACTGCTACATGCTATATGCACTTAAGTTGTTTTTCAGAAAAGACTAAGGAGCCCGAATCTCTGTCCAAAGGATTCAGGCACTAAGTGCCTAAAATAATTTTGAAAATTGGACTCCTAATTTCTTTAGGCATTTCTGAAAAAATTGCTTCAGATCATTCAGCCCACCCTCTTTCTAATGCAGCAGAATCCTTCCCAGGAAGGAATTTTTCTTGGAAGTGATGACAAAAGAAACAAAATCCATACAAGAGACAATAGGTACAAACTTAAAGAAAACAAAATATTACCAGCTTCTTATTAAGCCCAAGGAGCATTTCTGATCCAATTCCTGTGAAGTCCGTGAGTCTTTCCATTGACCTGAGTAGTAGTGAACTGAGCCCTTTTCCTGTCTGAACTTGCTGTGTTTATAGACACTGTTGGCTTCCACTTTGCACTGTTAACTCACTTTCCCTTGGCTTTTAGAAGGAACAGAGTAGGGCTTTATTTGCCCAACACAAAGTAAATTGGATGAATAATGTGTCATATGAACATATCACATAATCACCTTGAGCCAGATCAAACCCTTGATTTTTCCTGTTGCAAAATTTCTTAAAAAGGGACAAATGTTTAGGGAGTGGCTTACCAGAATGCGGCTCTGGTAAGGTCAGAGATCACAACTTCCGCATTCAGATGAGCTGGTGCTCAAAGTTGGAGTAGCATCTACCATGTTGTTCCTCAGTGAAATTCTGACGTATTCACGGTAGCTTTCACACATCTTCTGAATAATTTTGGCCACAGTTCGGGCTTCCTGATTGTCCCAAAGCATTTCTATTCTTGCACGTTTGGGTCAGCGTTAATCATTCAGTACTGTTGGTCGTACAGTAAAATCACTGGAATTTTTCAGGTTGAAAAAACAATGTGACATTTTAATTCTAAGTGTGGAGGTAGCCAGACCTTAAGCAGTGCTGCTTTCTTCTAGAAAAAACCTAACGGAATAGTCCAGAAGAGCTACAAAAGAATTCTCTGCTTTCATATGATTCAGTGGACTAGAGCTGTTCATAGCAAAAAAGAAAAATAAATAAATAGACAGGCTTTGGGCATCATTGCATGTCCAGTGAGCAATTAGATGCTGTCTGGAGAAAGGAAGACTTTCCCTTGATTGAGGAGGATCACGTTAGAGATCATTTAGGTAAACTTGACGCCCAGAATCACAGAATCGTTTAGGTTGGAAGGGACCTCTGGAGATCATCTAGTCCAACCTCCCTGCTCAAGCAGGGTCACCTAGAGCATATTTCCCAGGATCACATCCAGACGGGTTTTGAATATCTCCAGGGAAGGAGACTCCAAGGACAAGTCCATGGACACTAATAGGGTGCACCCACAAGTTATTGCTAGGCCACTTTCCATCATCTTTGAAAGGTCATGGAGATCAGGAGAGGTGCCTGAGGACTGGAAGAAAGCCAATGTCACTCCAGTCTTCAAAAAGGGCAAGGAGGAGGAGCCAGGAAACTACAGGCCTGTCCCCCTCACCTCCATCCCTGGAAAGGTGATGGAACAGCTCATCTTGGAGGTCCTCTCTAAGCATGTGGAGGACAAGAAGGTGATCCGGAGTTGTCAGCATGGTTTCACCAAAGGGAAGTCATGCTTGACCGATCTGATAGCCTTCTATGATGGGACAACTGGCTAGATAGATGAGGGAGAGCAGTGGATGTTGTCTACCTTGACCTCAGCAAGGCTTTTGACACTGTCTCCCATCACATCCTCCTAGGCAAGCTCAGGAAGTGCAGGCTGGATGAGTGGATGGTGAGGTGGATCGAGAACTGGCTGGATGGCAGAGCTCAGAGGGTTGTGATCAATGGCACGGAGTCTAGCTGGAGGCCTGTGGCTAGCGGTATCCCCCAGGGGTCAGTACTGGGTCCAGTATTGTTTAACTTATCCATCAATGACTTGGATGAAGGGACAGAGCCAGTTTGCTGATGATACTAAACTGGGAGGAGTGGCTGATACCCCAGAGGGCTGTGCTGCCATTCAGAGGGACCTGGACAGGCTGGAGAGCTGGGCGGAGAGGAACCTCCTGAAGTTCAACAAAGGCAAGCGCAGGATCCTGCACCTGGGAAGGAACAATCTCATGTATCACTACACTTCCAGCTACTGCTGGAAAGCAGCTCTGCCGAGAAGGACCTGGGAGTCCTGGTGGACAACAAGTTAACCGTGACGCAGCAATGTGCCCTTGTGGCCAAGAAGGCCGATGGTATCCTGGGTTGCATTAGACAGAGTGTTGCCAGCAGGTCGAGGGAGGTGATCCTGCCCCTCTCCTCAGCCCTGGTGAGGCCTCACCTGGAGTCCTGTGTCCAGTTCTGGGCTCCCCAGTGCAAGAGAGTCATGGCATTACTGGAGAGAATCTAGCGGAGGGCTACTAAGATGATTAAGGTACTGGAGCATCTCTCATATGAGGAAAGGCTGGGGGAACTGGGCCTGTTCAGCCTGGAGAAGACTGAGGGGGGGATCTGACCAATGTCTACAAATATCTGAAGGGAAGGTGTCAAGAGGATGGGGCCAGACTCTTCTCTGTGGTGTCCAGTGACCGGACAAGAGGCAACGGGCAGAAACTGAAACACAGGAAGTTCCGTCTGGTCATGAGGAAAAACTTCTTGACTGTGAGGGTGACAGAGCACTGGAACAGGTTGCCCAGAGAGGTAGTGGAGTCTCCTTCGCTGGAGATATTCAAAACCCGCCTGGACGCGATCCTGGGCAATATGCTCTAGAGGAGCCTGCTTGAGCAGGGGGGTTGGACTAGATGATCTCCAGAGGTCCCTTCCAGTGCTAAGCATTTTGATTTTGTGATCTTTGAATTCCTCTGTCCCACCTAGATCAAGGTGGGTGGTATTCATTCCTCCTTGACTTCTCTGAAGAAGACGGAAGTCTTCTGGTAATTCTCAAGGATACTGGAATAACATAATGGCAGGCAGCAAAAGTTTGTCAATGAGGCCTATAGCAGGCAGCACAAAAAAGCATTCTGAGATTTGAATAGCTACTGAACAAAATCAGAAACAGCTCAGTGTGGGAAGGAATGAAGAACTGAAATAGCTCATAAGAGTAAATGAAATGGCTCCCCTTGCACCAACAAGTTATTTGCAGACATCCTGCCAGCTAGGACAAATGTTGCCATAATTTACACCTTTCTTACATCAGTGTGATTCTGCTGACTTCAGAGCATTTATTCTGGATTTAAAGTATCACTGCAATTAGAGTCTGAGTGCTGGAAGCTGAGTTGTCCTTTTTTTTTCCCCTCTCCTTCAAGCTTAGGCTCTTATTGCATAAGCCTTCCTTAACATAAGACCACTGAGCATCACTTAAGAGAACCAGAAGATAATATTGATCTCTTTGGGTGCATCGCTGTTCAGGCTGAGAGAAAAGGAAAAGCAAACTAGCCAATAGTGGCTTTGCAGTTTATTTTAAATTCAGACTTACTGCTTAAAGTGTGGCTAGAAAATGAATGAAAGAGAAGAAAAATATTTTTGTGTATTTTGAGTGTCCTTTCAAAACCATGGTGAAAGAAACTGCCCTGAGAGAACAGCTGATCTCAGGAGTTAATATCGGCAGAAGGAATACTTTTTTGGGGGCTGCATCACTGTATTTGCCACATCCAGTGACTTGCATGTAATGGGAAGTTCATGGATCCCTGTTTGAGGACCAGATTGTTTAATTTGTCAGATCCTTCTTGCTTTAGGCTCACACAGAATCAGCAGAGGAGGCAAAATTTCGGCTATTTTGGACTGATCATTTGCCTTCTGCAGTATAAAGTCCTTAGTGACTCTCAGCTCATCTTTCACTTATGAACAATGAATTTTTTGCTGCAGCAGTAGACCAACCTGGGGAAGAGGAAGACGCAGCTGCAGCCACTCTCATTCCATTGAGTTCAGTATTTATTCCATTTCTAGCCTGCATGGCTGAACGTTGGCCATGATAGAGCCTGTTCCTTGTATATTAATGTGCTTTTTTTCTGATCATTCATCCTTTGCTGAGGACATGCCCCTAGCTGCTGGTGCTCCTAGATGGAACAGTATGGTCTAATAATGATTGTGATGTGAGCGACTTCTTGTTGATTAACAAAAAGCAGTTACAGGAAATTGCACTGGCTGCAGTGAATTTTTAGCAGGTGCCAGTGACAGGGCAATGGAGATGGATATTTCTGCAGGGTACCTAGCACACTCAAGGACATAATCAACCAAATGCTAAATAATAACTATGATGAATGTTACTTTCAAAGGTTGCTACCAAGTAACTGAAAATATTCCATGAGAATTCTTAGCATAAATGAGTCAAAAGCTCATTATTTACAGGCCTAGGTAGTGTTGTTTGATTTATTTTCTTGAGTTCTCAGAGTAATTACACTTCCTTACTAAACAAATGATTCTGGCTTTATTGTTTGTACAAACAAAATAATTAGGATTCATTACATTTGTGGTCAGCTAATTGCTTCCTTTGAGATATTGCTAAGAGTAATCTCCTAAAACACACGCACAGAAGGAGTGTGTAAGTTAATCTTATTTAGAGACACCATTGATCTGGAGTCAATCAAATTAATGCAGCCATTCAGGAAACTGTGTGGAAAGCAGGAGCTGCAACAGTTTACCAGGAAGAAAACACTAATGCGTTCTGCTCTCTTCAAGTGAAGATATGACAGGAATTTTACAAGGCACAAAGTCCAGGTACAGAAGCATACAGCATCACATGAACGTGCTCATGTC